CCTGCCTCCCACACTCACCTCACCTGCCTCCAACACTCACCCTCCTGCCTCCAACACTCACTCTCACCTGCCTCCAACACTCACTCCCTCCTGCCTCCAACACTCACTCACCCTGCCTCCAACACCTACCTCACCTGCCTCCAACATCACCTCACCTGCCTCCAACACCACCTCCCTGCCCTCCAACACTCACCCTCCTGCCTCCAACACTCACTCCCTACTTCAAAATTCCTTTTAACTACATAATATCAATAAAAATTATCACTTTTTGTTCAAGGTAAAAGAGACTTGGTCTTACTTATAGTTAAGCCTGGAGTCCTTAAGTCTTCAATAATTAATACTGTAGTACAGTACAGTACAGTACGGTATGGTACGGTATGAAAGTAGCCAGTACAGTATGAGTCACAGTACAGTACAGTACGGCACGGCACGGCACGGTACGGCACGGCACGTAAGAGCACGGCACGCAGTACAGTATTAGCACAGTACAGTACAGTACAGTACAGTACAAAGTACACAGTATAGTATGGTACGGCATGCAGACGAGTACGGTGCATGGCATTAGCACAGCACAGTACAGTACAGCACAGCATAGCACGGCACAGTACGTAAAGCACGGTACGGTACAGTACGGTAACGGCATTTGCACGGTACGGCACGGTACAGTACGGCACAGGACGGCACGGCCAGTACAGCATCGGCACGGCACGGTACAGTACAGCATGTACGGTGCACAGCACGGTGCACGGCACGGTACGGCACGGCACTAAGCACGGCACGGTATGGCACGGCACGGCACGCAACGCAGTACGGGTAATAGCCAGGCACAGTACAGTACAGTATAGTACGGATAGCAATGGACGGTACGGCACGGTATATCATAGCACAGAATAGGCTACAGTACAGCATACAGTACAGTATAGCACGGTACAGCATAGTACCAGACAGCACGGTAATAGCACGCAGCACGGTATGCAGACGGTACAGTACAGTACAGTACAGTACAGTACAGTACAATTACAGTATAAAGCATGGCAACTGATGCAGTGCGATGCGGTACAGTACAGTACAGTACAGTATAGTACAGTACAGTATGGTACGGTACAGTATGGTACAGTACAGTATGGTACCGGCAATCGGTACAGTACCAATGCAGTACAGTATGGTACAGTACAGTGCGGTACAGTACAGTATGGTCCGATGCGGTATAGTACGGTACAGTACAGTACAGTATGGTACAGTACAGTACAGTACAGTACAGTATGGTACAGTACAGTATGGTACAGCACAGTACAAATGACAGTACAGTATGATGCGGTATGGTACGGAACGGTACAGTACAGTATGAGTATGGTACGGTACAGTGCGGTACAGTACAGTATGGTACAGTACAGTATGGTACAGTACAGTACACAATCTGTACGGTATGAATACGGAACAGGTACAGTACAGTATGGTATGGTACAGTACAGTATGGTATGGCATAGTACAGTATGGTACTGAGTACAGTACAGTACAGTACAGTGCGGTACAGTACAGTACGGTACGATGCAGTACAGTAATTACAGTACAGTACAATGCAGTACAATGATATGGTACGGTATGATGCAGTATGGTACGGTATAGTGCAGGCAGTACAGTATGGTATGGTACAGTACAGTATGGTACAGTACAGTACAGTACAGTACAGTACAGTATGGTACAGTACAGTATGGTCCAGTACAGTACAGTATGGTATGAATGCCGTATAGTGCGGAACGGTACAGTACAGTATGGTATGGTACAGTACAGTATGGTATGGCATAATTACAGTATGGTGCGGTACAGTACGGTACGACGGTACAGTACAATGCGGTACGGTACAGTATGACACTATGACGATCGGTATGTACAGTACAGTACTACCAACAGTATAACTGATCTACGATATGATACAGTACAGTACAGTACAGTACAGTACGGCGTACATACGTAAACCAACCCCCACACACCCACAACGGTACAGTACAGACAGACAGTACAGTACATGCGCGGCGCGACGTCATCGACGGTACAGTCGTACAGTACAGTATAATGCGTACATCGATGCAGTCGGTACAGTACAGTACAGTAGTACAGTACAGTACGGTATACAGTATAGAATCGGTACAGTGCGGTACAGCATGCGGTACGGTGCGGTACAGTACAGTACAGTACAGTACAGTACAGTACAGTATAGTACGGTGCACGGTCAGTCATCGTACAGTACAAAGCAGTATATACGGCACAGTATGGTACGGTACAGTATGGTACAGTACAGTATGGTACAATGCGGTACAGTACAGTACGGTACAGTACAGTATAGTACATGCAATGCAGTACAGTACAGTATAGTCCGATGCGGTATGATGCAGTACAGTACAGTACAGTATACAGTACAGTACAGTACAGTACAGTATGGTACAGTACAGTATGCATACAGTACAATCGTACAGTACAGTATGTACGTATGATCGTATGATGCAGGAACGTTCTGTACAGTATGGTATGGTACAGTACAGTGCGGTACAGTACAGTACAGTACAGTATTTTACAGTACAGTATGGTACAGTACAGTACAGTACAATCGGTATAGTGCGTATGGTACAGAACGGTACAGTACAGTATGGTATGGTACAGTACAGTATGGTATGGCATAGTACAGTATAGTGCGGTACAGTAGTACAGCACAGTACATGTACAGTACAGTACAATCTGTACAGTACAGTATGGTACAGTACAGTACAGTACAAGCACGGTACAGTACAGTATCAACGGTATGAATGCAGTATGCATAGTGGAACGGTACAGTACAATATGGTATGGTACATTACAGTATGGTACAGTACAGTACAGACATACAGTATAGTACAACATAGGTACAGTACAGTACAGTATAGTATGATATGGTGCGAACGGTACAGTACAGTATGGTATATTGGTACAGTATGGTATGGCATAGTACAGTATAGCGGTCATACGGTGCAATACGGTACAGGTACATGTTTGTACAGTATGGTACAGTACAGTGCAGTACAGTACAGTATAGTCTGCGGTATAGTGCAGGTACAGTACAGTACAGTATGGTACAGTACAGTATGGTACGGTATTGTATGATGCGGTACAGTATGGTACGGTATGGTACCAAACGGTACAGTACAGCGTCAAGTACAGACAGTAATCGGTATGGTGCGGTACAGTACAGTACAGTATAGTACAGTACAGTACAGTACAGTACAGTACAGTACAGTATGGTACAGTACAGTATGGTACAGTACAATGCATGGTACAGTACAGTACGGTATGATGCGGTATAGTGCAGACGGTACAGTACAGTATGGTATGGTACAGTACAGTACAGTACAGTGCTGATGCAGTACAGTACAGTATTGTACAGTACAGTATGGTACAGTACCAAGTACAGTACAATGCTGGTATGAATGCGAACGGTACAGTACAGTATGGTATGGTACAGTACAGTATGGTATGGCATAGTACAGTATGGTACGGTACAGTACAGTACGGTACAGTACAGTACAGTACAGTACAGTACTGATACAGTACAGTACAGTATGGTACAGTACAGTACAGTGCGGTACAGTACAGTATAGTGGTATGGTACGGTATAGTGGAACGTAGTGCAGACAGGTACAGTACAGTATGGTATTGCAGTACAGTATGGTACAGTACAAGTACAGTACAGTACAGTATGGTACAGTACAGTATGGTAAGTACAGTACAATGCGGTATAGTACGGTATGGTACAGGCGGTACAGTGATATGGTATGGTACAGTACAGTATGGTATGGCATAGTACAGTATGTGCGATTGCAACGATACAGTCACGGTACAGCACAAGTACATATGTACAAGACATCTTGGTACGGTACAGTACAGTACAGTATGGTACAGTACAGTATGGTACAGTACAGTATGGTATGGTACAGTACAGTATGGTACAGTACAGTACAGTATGGTACAGTACAGTACAGTACAGTATGGCACAGTACAGTATGGTACAGTACAGTACAGTAAGGTATGGTACGGTATGGTACGGAACGGTACAGTACAGTATGGTATGGTACAGTACAGTATGGTATGGCATAGTACAGTATGGTACGGTACAGTACAGTACAGTATGGTACAGTACAGTACAGTACAGTACAGTACAGTATGGTACAGTACAGTCCAGTACTTTGCTATTTTACAGTTATAAAGTTGATTATATTTCATTATTTATAATTAGGTAAATCAATTTACCAGTTAGAAAAAGTAAGTATACAGTAGTACAGTTCTGTATATGTAATCTGTAAGTGACAAAATTAGATAAATTATTTTACTTTAAAGCTTTTGAATCAGTTAAAAAAAAAAAGTAACAGAATGTCATACCTAATTTACCAGTAACAAGTATGGTAACCAAATTAATTACAATATCACAAATCTTTTAATAATTTACAAAACTTTGGTTTTCTGTAACAAAAGATACTTAACTCCTTAGGCCCCTCTGTACTCAATTACATTGTCTGGCATTATTAGCCAAACAAAATATATTAAAAGTAGGGCCCAGTAGTGAGGTGTTGTCTGGGTAACAAAAAATATGAGTGATCTCTCCCCAGCCTCTATTATCCAACAGAGAGAGAGGGAGGAGCAGGCCAGGTATGTTATGACTTGGTTGACCTCGCCTGCCCTCGGGAGTGTGAGAAAGGAAACAAGTCAGATATACTATTGTGCTAATATGAGCTGACCTCAGCCTGACCTCGCTCTCTCCTCGAAGGAACTGCAACCTCAGCCATGTATAATGATGACAGCTGAGGCACAGTTAAATAACTTGGTGAATAATTTGGTATTATACATTTGGATAAATATTTATATAATGCATATGGTGTTGTTACAAAGGACCAACCATTAAAATTTATCTGATTTTCTCAGTTTTGCTAAATAAATTGTTATACTGTAGTGTACCTGTATAATGAGACACCATCTTGTAATTATCATTTTACCCTAGAGATACAAACTGAAGTGTGGGTCCCATATGAACCATTAAGGCCAGTCAGGTTACAGCACACTTTATATTAAGCCTTCAGTATACAAGGAGGCAGTGTGGTCATCACTGCACTTGACTACATTTAATTTTCAATTGTAAAGTCAGGTACCCATTCCCAGTTGGGTGGACTGGGGTGTCCTGGACATGAATAATTATCTATACAGCTTACATAAAGTCTGCATGACAATATTGTACCAGTTTACAATATTGGACTTGCATGAAGCTGGAATTTTGACCATTACTGCATGACTGTATCATCACTTTACAGTACAGTATATAACTTATATAATGCCAGAGTTAAAACAATGTGGTTATGAGACATAAATTTCAGGTTAAAGTTATTAATTAAAGATTCAATGACTGAAAAGTGAGGAAGTTGTGCCATACAGCAGGGAGGGTTGCCTTGGAGAGAACAGTCAGTGCCTGAGGCCCCAAATGGTCTGTCAGAGCTCGGCGGCACAGACTTGAGAGATGCGGGGGCTGTCGTGTAGCTTCTTTAAGCAGTGCACGAATACCTGAGTCACGGATTTCAGTTTCAATGTCGCCGCCTTGGATCAGTCTCTTGGTTCGAGCCCCAGCAGCTAAAAGCAACGCTACTGCACCCCAGGAGGCGTCTCTGGCCGCTGACACCAATGGCGTGTGACCTAAATGGTCTTCTGTGTTGGTGTCAGCCCCAGCAGTAAGTAACAGACGTAGCAGGTTGATACGGTGATCCAGTATAGCTACATGTAGAGCCGTGTGGCCTAGAGACCCCTTGGAATTTAGAGCTGTCCTCGACCCAATCTCCACCACTGCAGCTAAGACACTCTCAGAATCTTGTCTCCCACTACGTACTGCTACATGTAATGGCGTTTCCGAACAAGAGTTAGTGGCAGAAACTGCTGGAGGGTGGGCCAGTGCCAGTATTCTGACTGTAGATGGTTTAACACCATTAACATTAACAGCATGGTGTAGCACTGTGTTGCCCTGATTGTCGACGTATTCGGGACTAGCACGGGCGTTCAGGAGAATTTCAACGAGTTCTGAATTTCGTGACTGTGCTGCACGGTGTAATGGGGTGCAGCCATCACTATCAATAATGTCTACAGCAGCTTTATGTAATAACAACATCTCCACCAGAGCTGTTGGGAGGAAATAAAGGAAATGAGTAAATTTTTTTTGTAAATGTGTTAAACTCTACAGGGAAAATTGTCATTTGCCACTGTCATCTTATTAGTCAAATTGTTTAAAATTACAAGATTTCATCACTTATTATTACGGCCACATTCCATGAAAATGTATATTTAAATAGAACAACAATAAATGCATCAAACATTCCCATAAGAATAATAAATTTCCTGGAGCAGCCATGAATCACACAATGATGTCATATGTCACCAGCAGTAATAATTCCCCCACAACTGCTCACTTAGCCTACAAACACCATGGAGAAAAGATGCCTCAACAGAGATACTGTACTAGAAGCAAACTTAGATGAGAATGTAAATATACAGCAATATAGGAAGAAATATGTGCAGTTTTCATGTAAAGTGATGATATATGAGAGAATGATGATGAAGTTCAGCTGCAGCATAAAAACAAATAGGGAGATGTAGTGGTTAAAATTATCATACCACCAGGGAAACTTAATACGATTGCAACTGTAAACCAACATGCACTTTGATTTTTTTAATTTGGGGAGCTCATAACAATATGTTTAATTAATCATCAGGTCATGTTTCCCATTCTTTCAAAAACCTGAGGCTGGGAGGAACACTAAAACCTGAGGCTGGGAGGAACACTAAAACCTGAGGCTGGGAGGAACATTAAAACCTGAGGCTGGGAGGAACACTAAAACCTGAGGCTGGGAGGAACACTAAAACCTGAGGCTGGGAGGAACACTAAAACCTGAGGCTGGGAGGAACACTAAAACCTGAGGCTGGGAGGAACACTAAAAGGAGGCACCAAACCTGAGGCTGGGAGGAACACTAAAACCTGAAGCTGGGAGGAACACTAAAACCTGAGGCTGGGAGGAACACTAAAACCTGAGGCTGGGAGAACACTAAAACCTGAGGCTGGGAGGAACACTAAAACCTGAGGCTGGGAGGAACACTAAAACCTGAGGCTGGGAGGAACACTAAAACCTGAGGCTGGGAGGAACAATAAAACCTGAGGCTGGGAGGAACACTGAAACCTGAGGCTGGGAGGATTCAATACTTAATCTTATGGGGAAAATTAGGATATGTTCCACAACTAAAAGTCATCAGTAATGCTATAAATGTTGTAGGAAAAATCATTACAATACTCTAATGTGGGTTAGAAATATAGATAATATAATATAAAACTATAAACTAAGGAACTGAAGAGAATGGACGTTTGTGTGGAGTGGCTGACTCACCTCTCCAGTGATGTCACACACACACACACACACACACACACACACACACACACACACACACACGAGCACATACAGTGAGTTTTGCTATAACGCGTGTTTTGTCAACGCGAATTGGCTGTAACGCGATTCCACTCGAACGGTTGTAGTCGCTTGGCGCGGGGTTATGCAGTGTTTACAGTTCACGTTCAACATCACATGTTCAATTGATTTATGTGTTTTGTTTGTGAACAATTGCAGAAATAATTTATGTAATATTTATGTATACAGTATACCTGTACAGTATATGTAAATTGTAAAATTTTAAATAAGAGAGAAAAACAAAATAGGTAGCGTTTTAGACCTGTGCTCTGTTTACATAACATACGATCAGTTTGAAACACGTGAGAAGTTTTGAAGCGTCCTCAGTGATTTTTGCTTACTGTTTCTCCAATTTTGTGACTATGGAAAAGAAGAATATCCCAGGGAAGCGTTCTGGTGATTGCATTCCCGGTGGTGATCGTAAAAGAAAGGCTATAACACTTGAAGAAAAGCTTGATGTGTTGTCAAGCGTTTTGAAAATAAGGAATGAACATGTGATATTGTGTGTGCAACGGGAATAAGGGAGTCTACTTTACGCACCATTAGAGACAATGCAGCAAAGATTAAAGCAAGCTGTATTGCTGGAAAAACCTTGAGTGCTAGCAAAAGTGTGAGATCACGGCCAAAGGAACTTGAGGAGATGGAATGGCTTCTAAGTGTTTGGATAGAAGATCTAACGAAAAAGCGATCTGGGACCAGCTTCCTCACCATTAAAGAGAAAGCCTTACCAATATATGAGGACGTAAAGAAAAAAGCTGAAAATCCTGCTAATGTGGTTGCCTTTAGTGCAAGTAGTGGATGGTCTTCTGGTTTTAAGAACAGTTATGCGTTTCATAACGTAAAGTTATGTGGTGAAGCAGCAAGTGCCGACGAAGCAAGTGCCTGGGCACTTCCTCCCACTGTAAAGAAATTGATTCAGGAAGAAGGCTACACCTTAGACCAAATTTTTAATTTGGATGAAACAGGTTTATACTGGAAGCACATGCCAACAAGAACTTACATTTCCAAGAATGAAGCACATGCTCCAGGCTTTAAGGCTGCGAAGGACCGTATGACAGTGTTGTTGGGTGCAAATGCTAGTGGAGACTTAAAGCTAAAGCCTGTGCTGGTGTATCACTCTGTCAACCCGCGAGCTTTAAAGGGTTACATAAAGTCTACTCTAGGTGTTCACTTTAGGTCAAGCAAAAAAGGTTGGATGATGGGACAAATTTTTTCTGACCTTCTTGTTAATGTTTTTGAAAATGTTTTTAAAAATTATTGCAAGAAGAAGAATATAGATTTTAAGATTCTCCTCATTTTAGATAATGCGCCAAGCCACCCTCCCACCATTGCTGAGCTTTCTGACAATATCAAAGTGCTCTTTCTACCTCCAAATACAACATCTCTCCTTCAACCAATGGACCAAGGAATAATAGCAGCCTTCAAAGCCTATTATTTGAGGCGTACATTTAAGAAACTTATTGCAGCTACTGAGGAAGGAAATGATAAGGCCAGTGTTCTTCAGTTTTGGAAAAGTTTCAACATCAAGCATGCAAGTGACATCATTGTGGAGGCCTGGGGTGAAGTAAGTAAGGACTGCTTGAGTGGAGTTTGGCAAAAACTTCTCCCAGATATAATTCATGATTTTACAGGCTTTGATGCATCAGAGGAGCTCCCAAAATAAAAGAAAATTGTGTTTCTCTTGCAAAGCAAGTTGGCTTTGCTGAAGTGGAAAGTGCTGATGTTGAGGAGCTGCTCGAGTCCCACTGTGAAGACCTCTCTACAGCTGATCTACAACAACTTGTTGCTGCTGGGGAAATAGAAGATGCCGAAGATGAAGAAGTCAAGGATACAAAACCACGAGAGCTTCCCACTTTTGTTTTGTCTTCTATCCTGAGGGAAGTTGGTAAGCAGTTGCAGCTCTTGGAAGACAATGACTACAATGCAGAAAGGAGCAGGATTGCAGTTAGTGGTGTTAAATCTTTTTTGGCACCTAATAAACAGCTTCTTTGTGAAAGAAGAAAGACGGCAAAGCAGCAAACATTAGACGTCTTTTTTAAGTTAACCCCCAAGAAGCAGTCTGAAGACACTGAACCACAGCCATCCACTTCTGGAATTAGATGTTTTTTTCGTCCCTCCCATGCAACCAAAACTGCACCTGATGATGACAACTGTCAACTCCTGCCTGCATGACTCCTCAACATCAACCTTCTCCTCCATCAAGTTATATTCATATTTTTTCAAGGTAAAGTGTAACATTTACTGTATGATTTCATTATTAGATATGAATGTAACATTTATTTAGACTGTGCTATCCTTTGTGTTAGGCTAACTACTAAATTTTTTTTCGATTTCGAGTAATCTGCACCTAACCCTATTTTCTCCATAAGCCCTGTTATTTCTATTGCGCAAATTTCTACAACGCGAGGTTTTACAAGAACACAACTATCGCGTCATAGCAGAACTGACTGTACTGATCGCTATAAGAACAGCCTAGTCGCAACCATTGTAAAAATTATCAACAATTTGTAATCAACCAGTGTATTCACTCCCAGTCAATCTTACCTTTTTGCACTGTCACTATATTGAAATGCCCTGTAGTATGGCCTTCTCCCCACCTAGTTATTATATATCATATTTGTATCACTTATGTTACTTCTATATTATTTGTCAATGAAGTGACCCATTCCCCAATTATGTAACTGTATATTTTCAGCCTTCCGGCTGCCATGCTCTATCAATAAATCGTTAATTTTTATTATTATTATTATTATTATTATTATTATTATTATTATTATTATTATTATCATCATCACACACACACACACTACTACTACTATTACTACTACTTTACTGTCACTTGGAATCGAGTATGACGATCATCCAGCTATGATGCAATGATATGAGTTATTAAGGATGTCACCTAGGTTGGTGAGTTTTGAGGTGACTAAAGAGGCCGATACGGGACCAGCAGGTTCGTCCACATTTACTGCACATGTGGAGGGCTGCATCAAGTGAGGGAGGGGCGAAGGCAGCATCTTTCCGGCGTTGGCGCTTGTCTGCCTTGGTTTGCAGTTGGGCCAACTCGAAAGTATTGACACCTTCTCTCTTGTGGTGCTCCTCCAAGCATTACAGTGTGGAGTGATCGTCTCTCAGGTGAGGGGGTCGATGTGACACTTTTTCAGGTTTGTCTTATGACTGTCCTTATACCTTTTCAGTTGCCCGCCAGCGTTACGTTTACTATTCGTTAGGTAACTGTAAAGTAGCTACTTTGGCAGTCTACTGTCGTCCATGCGGGTAACATGGCCAGTCCAGTGCAGCTGTTCAAGGATAATGGTAACTACGATGCTCCTACAGTTGGTGTCAGCAAGAATACAAGCATTTGTTCTCTTGTCTTCCCAGCAAACTCGGAGGATGGAACGTAGACTACGTTGGTGAAAGTTTTCAAGTGCCTTGAGGTGCCTCCTGTATGTGACCCATGTCTTACTGCCACATAGCAGGGTGGGGAGGACCACTGCTCGATATACATGCAGCTTTGTGAGATGCACATATGATCCGGTGCTGAATATCTTCATTGATGCTTGTGGTGGTGGACAGGTGGGAGCCGAGATACCGAAAGTGGGTTACATTAGAGAGGGTAGTACTGTTAAGCTGGTTGGGTGGTGGAGGTGTGTCTGAACCAGGGGC